TAAGAGTCAAAATCAGCAAGCATCGAGCATTTAGTTAAAAAATGTGGAAAGTGGCATAGAAACAGATTTGGTTAAAACTCATATATAAATTTTCAGAACAAAGGGTATAATAGAAAAAAGCAAGCCAAAAATAATTTTTCGCATTGTTGCTATGGAAACCACGCGCCTTTCAAATAGCGTGTTTTGTACTTTATCATGACACTTGAATTTATGGTTAAACAAATATTTTTTATTACTAGTCATTAATAAAAGCTTTTTAAATTATTATTCTATTTATCTAAAAATACTCTATTTTAACAACTGTTGATTATTGAAATTCTCTTCACCTTTTGATAAATAAAACTAGTTTTTGGAGGTTTATTTTGATTTAAAAAACAGCAAATTTGCAGTACTCTATAAGAAATCTACAACCACATTAAAGCTTATCAACATAAAATATATATTAAACAGTATTTGTCCTAGAAGAATCAAGAAAAAAATCTGCAGGCAACTAAAGCATTTGTATATGATAACTGATTTAAATCCATAATTTTCTGTCTTTTTTGCTTCAAATTACCTCCCTTTGGTATAGCTCTCTAACATAGGAGGAATAAACGGTAGTTTGCTTACATTGTTTTCAATAACAGTGTACAGAAGACTAGAAGAAAATTACAAACTTGGAGCAGTCTGAGCCTCAGTTTTGGCGTTTTCATGAGTCTTAATTACGGTTAGTGACTGAATTTTTTACAATTTACCATTACAACAGTTTCTGAAGAATGTATAACAAAAATTAACCATGCAAGAAAAAATGTAACACTTGGCAAGTATTTTTTTGCACATTTCAATTTAATTCTGATTGATTATATATGTTAGCATTACTTTAGTATTTTATAACTAAAAAGAAAAGATTATGCATGGCCTGAGGAGCCAAGAGGAGGGGGTATGCCCCTCCTTCCCCTCCCCGATAATATTGCCGATATTAAACTATAATATGATAAAATGAAATAAATTGAAGACTTAGATTGTTTCTGCGGGCCGAACGTGAAAAAGTTGGTCATGATCAGTTACATAACTGTATCCCAAATTATAAAGTTTAATTTGAATTTAGTTTAATTTTGATTTGTTGTATTCACAGCATGTGTGTAACCAAGTCACTCACCAGCTATAATGATTATAATTTGAGTGATGGTCGGGTAAATAAAAATTCTGTATATAGTAATAGATATCTTTATTTACCATTTAAGATAATACCTGCTTTTTACATAAAAAAAATATGAATTGATGAAAATCAACACTATTATGAAATATTTGTAAAATGGAATGACTTTTGTTATGGCGTCGTAAAAAAAGAAAAAGGGGCAGGGGGTTAACTCTGTACTTAATATATTTTAGTTTAGGAAAGGGGATTACCTTGGAAGTATTGTGATACAGACAAGTATATAATGTAGTGGACTAGTGGTAACTGAATTGTATATATACCTCAGTAAAATAATAAATTAAAAAAAAGGCTTTTGCTGATGTCATCCAGTGTTTACTTGTGAAAGAAAATTCATATTCAGCTAACATTTTCACCGGTACCACTGAACTAATTTAAGTCAACTAGGTTCAAATAATAAGCATCATTCGAATTACAGCACATAGCTATACTCTATTTTTTCTTGGGGGGGGGTGTTATTGGAAAGAAATGAAAAGCACAATTTAGAGTTTTGACAAAACCTAGAACCAATTGACCTTTTTATTACAAGTTTATAAATTTAAAGAATATCTAAAATCAATACCGTCTCAACTTTGTGTTATATACTTCTGTTTTTAGAATGAAATTCGCCACTTTGAAGCCAAACTCGGAAAGAAGCAGAAACAGAATTGGATGAGCTGATATAGAATTAGACAGGAAAAACGTGTAAATAATACATTTAGTAAAAATGTTAACTTTTTAATATAAAATGATAAACTAAACCATTGAGATCTCTTGGAATTTAATTGATTCCAATAAACATGCTTTGCATTTATCATCATTGCTCAAGCTCAACTAGAAATGCTTCTTAGTAAGTATCTGAAGGCAAAGCTGTATAATATTATTACATTTTAATTTTATCACTTTTTCAGATTATCATTATGAGAATACACCATTACAGTACAGACCACTGGTGCTGGAAGTGAGTGGATAGTGTTACCGGAGATTCAGGGATCCAGAAAATAGATCCATAAATTGTACAGTGTATTCATGAAAGTGGATCAAATAAAAATGTTCAATCCAAAAGTAACATTCTTTGTTTGTCTGTTACCATTTTTTTTATTGATGTAAATCTAACAAGCTAATTCAGAGAATTTGTGTCCCCCGCTTAGGGAAAAAGTAAACCATGCGCAGTTCGGGGCGGGGGTGGGGGTGGGGGGTCGGATCCCCCTAATTGAATTTTTAGAATTTTTAAATGTATACATGTATACTGAAGCAAATAAAATATGTCAATATTGATATAATGATTTAATTATGTGTAAAGAAGGTTCATTTTATGTGGATTATTTATCACAACGTAATGATGATTTTATGAGTTTGTACAAGCTAGACCTCATAATTTTTTTCATTTCACATGCTGAATACTATCATTTAGTAAAAAATTTCGGAAATTTTTAGTAAAAAATTTCGGAAAAGAAAAAAATGATCGTCCGAGAATCGAGCCCGTGACCTCTCGCATGTGAATCGGGAGACATACCACTGCGCCACGGAACTGCTGTACAATTTCGACCATTATATGCAAATATGAAGTCACATACATGTATATATTCACGTTTGATATCGTCAAAAATTTACACAAAACATGGTGTCTAATTCAACCTTTATTAAACAGTTCTGGTAGAAGTGATAGGAATATAAATTCTGCCGAGAACCTGATTTATACGCAATAACTCTCCTCATGCCCCTGTGCTAAAAATAGCGACATGTAATACTGTATTTAAATACTAATAAAACAAACGGGGCGGGACACTTTGAGAGAGGTCCTAGGGAGTTTTGGTATAAAATACATTGCATAAGCTCAAAATCTTCTTGAAATATCGCCCGGAAATGATAGTGTTACACACAGAGAGAATGTATAAATTTACGACCTTTAACTTTGACCTTTTGACCTCAAAATCAATAGGGGTCTTCATAAGGCCACGGGGAGTTGTCATGTAAAATTTCATTGCAATAGCTCAAATGGTTCTAGAGAAACTGTGTGGAAAGGAAAGTGTTATAACAGACAGAATTTGTTTATTTATGACCTTGACCTTTGACATTTTGACCACAAAATCAATAGGGTTCTTCTTTAGTCCATAGGGAGTAACTGTTGCTATGCTAAATTTCATTGCAAAAACTCAGAGGGTTCTCGAGATATCATGTGGAAACGAAAGCGTTCCAGACAGACAGAAAGATGGACAGACGGAAGGACAAACGGACAAACTCGGGAGGGGGGTGTGGTTAAACATTAGGGTACGCTGAGAAAAAAGTTTGGTGGGGGATGTAATCCCCCCTACCCAACCCAAACCTGATGCTACATGCCTGATTGACATGGTTTTACTTTATAATTATGTGAGCTGTCATAGTGACTCTCTTTCATAAACAAGAATTATTGTGAGCAAGCTAATAAAATGATACAAACCCTCCTGCTATTACATTAAATGTTTTTTTTATTACAAAAAAGGTCTAAATACTAATTTGAAACCTTTTAAAATTTTGCTAGTGCAGATATACATACCGAAAATGACTATGACAAATACTCAAGTCATAGGTAGTAAAACCGTTGTGTTGAGCACAAACTTTCCCTTCATTCGAAGTTAAATATGTAAATGTGCCAAACTCATATAGTACACTTTTACTGCAGTGACCTTGAAAAAGCTATGTCCTTGAGTCAAGGGCAAACATGTTCAAATGAATTTTGGTCAAGGTAATGACAAACCTACAGCTTAAAAATAATTCCCAAGATGAAACCAAGTCTTTTCATTAGAATGTTACAGAATGGGCAAAGGTTGCACTTTTCTTCTATCAATGACCTTGAACTTGTTCAAATGACCTTGAGTCAAGTTTTTGACACATCTCTCGATCGCAAGCAATCTTAATATCAAGTATGAACTTTCAGTGGCACTTCATTGAAATGTTATGGACAAGTCAAAATTTTACATACATATGGATCGGTGAATAAGGTGATTCCTACCCCCCCCCCCCCTTTTCCAAGTTTCGTTTGTGAGGAATATAAAATTCCTTTTGAAATTGAATGTGCATTTATTTATTAACAATAGTAAAGTTATGAGTATGCTTTGATCAGAACCAATATGGCCAATATAATGGACACTGAACATGTATTCAAATTACCCCCACCCCTTCAAAAAAGCTTATAAATGCCAGATTTTTACACATTTTAACCATTTGTAACTTTTTTTCTGCTAAAGTTGCCTGCAAATTTTATTGTATAGATATGACATATAGATAACCCCTAACAAGATCATACCATTCATTTTTCCAGCAGTGGTTGTAGATTTTGTGAATAAAGTGATAAACATATGTAACTTTTTTCAAAATTAATAAGCATTGACGCCATGTTCTTTTCCCGTAGTCATGGCAACAATATCACTATAGAAATTTTGTTTTTCCTATTTTTGGAGAATAAAGTAATTCCATCTTTTAACAAATAAAGTAACCAAAATACCTTATCTTATCAGGTTCAGAAAACATATTCGTAGAAAAATGTCTAAAAATCATTGATTTTCATAAGGATTTATGAACCCGTTGCTAAGGAAATGAATTTCCTTGGATACCAGTCCCTTCATACGTTCGAAAAAAAATTTAATTGTGTTTTAGCATTAGGTAAGACAAAATCTTTCATATACCAAAAGCTTTTGAAAAAATAAAATTTTGACTTTCCATTCAATGCTCGATGCTTGCTGATTTTGACTCTTAACAATACTAGCATTCAAAAAGTAAGCTGTTATATATACATTAAGAGTAAGAATCTAGCGGAGCAGATCTTTATCAGGGTTTCCTTTGTGAAGGAAAAGACAATTAAGACCTAAATGTAATTATGCAATAACTTTCTTCTTTATAAGTATTCCATTATGAAAGATAATTTTATTCAAGCAATATCTAACTGTATAGAATACCGTATATGTGGAAATTTTAGCAAGGATGCTGAGATCGCTAAAATTGAATATTGCTAAAAATTAATTGCCTGTTATTTGCAATAGCTTCTTCAGTGACCCTTTTCAAATCGCTAAAATTGAATATTGCTAAAAATAAAATACCAGTTTTTAAGGAGAAATTGCTAAATTTGCGTCTCACTAAAATTTCCACTTATACAATAATTAATTTCCAATGATATTACTACAGTTGACAGCTTTTCGATCCAAATCTTGACCTCTTACTTTGTAAACTGGACCCAAATTGATCTTTTACAAACAGAATACTCTTATGAACTTATACATAAAAATACTGAGGATGTTCCATGAAAGCACTTTTGAGTGTAATATAACAAACCTTTTCAAAGAGATAATTTGGTGTTAGATCTGTTCCTCCCCCAAACCACCAGTGGACTTTTCCTTTCTCATCCACCACCTCAAAGTACCGATAATTAAAGTGGATCGCAGGCACATAGGGATTTCTCTGGAATTCAGAAGCACACACATCTCAAATTTTCAAGTTTAATGCAAAAATACATAGAGCATGCGTGCATGCATTTCTTTACTCTGTTTATGCTCTGTGTATATATCAATGAAGTTTGGTGCATATTTATTATTACAAGAAGTCAAGAAGTAAAGTACTGTTACAGTTATAAAAAGTACAGGGTGTAAACTATATCTGTGGTATAAAACATATGAAACTTACAGGGTGTATGACACAGCTGACTCCGGTGGCAAAGAAGGGTAATGTCTTGCCCTCTAAAGCCCTGCCTCTACAACAGAACAACAGTAATATTTCTTTCAAAGAGTCAACTAATCAACAACTAGAACTTACAACAATACAGTTATACTAAATAAACAGAAGGAAACTAACCTGGCTTTCATTTGAGCCACGGCTGGAGGGGGTAGGTTTCCATGTACCACAGAGATGTTGACTCCTGCCTTCTCAAAAACGAGGCCATCCTTCATAACACAAGTGATTCCACCCCCTCCCTAAACAAATATAACAAATCACTGTAAAATCACATATTTTCGTAGGGTCAATTTTTCAAGATTTGTGGAGAAAATATTAGTTTGTGGGGATTTGATTTTCATGGCTGGAGAATGTTTAGTGGTAATGCATATGAAATTTTAAATTTTGTGGTAGACATCAATTTGTGGGTCTCAATCTTCATACCTTGAAAACAACAAAAAATTAACCTCCCATGAAAATAAATTAGTTTTTTCACAGTATGTTTTATACATATTGTAATTTATTATTTTCAGGAAAATTCATTCATATTCATAAAGAACTCCCTAGTCATATTCATCCTCATTTGAACTTTCAGGATGTTAAATTCAATTGAATTCTTCTCTCATAATATTTAATATGTGGGGCTTATTTGACTTAATCTTTTAATTAAATTCAATGAAAAGATTCTGGATTACTACTTGGTTGCACCTTCATTATTACCCCTCTCCTTTACTTTTTTTCCCAAATTTCACAACTCCTTGATAATATATGTTAAATAATTTACATTTCAGTGAAATTGTCATAGAATTTCTGACCTTTTAAGACATTGAAATCCCTGACCCCAAAGTTTCATTTTTACTAAGGTAAGCATTAACAATCAGTTCGTCCATTACCTCTGCTCTTGTCCATCTGTCAACAAAAAATTTCTGGTCGCCATCAATCTCTTCCAGTTTTCTGCAAACTTCTGACTAAATAAACAAATTTGATTTAAAAAAGTAAAATGCAACTCAGAAGTACACGAAGAATATACATGTGTATTCAATTAACATAGAGGTGAAAAAAAACTAAGGTTTTTTTTTTTTAACAAGGAAACAGGTCTGGAATTTTTCTTTATCAAAAATACCTGAATTCTCATCACCATGGCTTCCATTTTATATTTCATTTCTGAACTCCTCTGAAATGAGAAACAAAAATCTTTTAAAATCTGATGGTACTTTATATACAAAATCATTAAATGTTATAACAGTTTTATCAAAGAAAAGCTGTTGTCTTTGTCTTGCTGAGGTATAAACTCTAAAATATTCCATATTCTTCTAGGATGGAACAAGTATATAGTCCTTTTTGTGCAACTAATAAATCTACACACATATTGTGTAACATACTTTGAATGTCATTTTATGGTCTACCTTCTGCATTGTAGAATTTGATTTAATTAATAGATATAAAAGCAGGTAAATAAAATCAATTAAAAGATATATTTAAAACATTTACAAAAATTTCTGGCATGAAGTGTATTGGCCTAGACCATGCAGTCTTAAAAAACATACCTCTTCTAGAAGTGTCTTGTCTGTAATTGGTTCAGCCATCCATTTTGATGAATCAAGTTTCCTTCCACTGTTTGCAAGTACCTGAAATTAATTTTCATTTTCAATGTAATTTTCTAAATCTACATATCTGTCTCTTGTTCAACACTTTATCTCTGGACAATTCAAATAATACACATGCAGTGAAGCATTTTCATAGAAAATATTGTTTATAAATGATGAATTTTTATCAAGTCTGAAGCAAAGATCTGAGGAAGCAAATTATATCAAATATTGGCTTAATTAGTATTGTACACATGTACATTTAGTAGCAATCAAATCTGTTATCCAACTTGGTTAATCTAAGAAATCAGCTTCAGAAACCTTGAACTCACCGTATTGCTGTTGCTATGGTAACATATGATTGACACTCCAGCACTTCCAACTGACACAGCCCCACATGACCTGTAACAGGCAAATTAATACAAAATGACAATTAATTAAAAGAAATTTTTTATCTACTGGAGGATTTAATCTCTTTATGCTATATGTGATAAACAAGAGGCCTGTTCAACGGAGCAAGTGCTCGTGAACATTTCTGTTGGAGGTACATGTATTACTATAAGGAATTTTGGCAAGCGCTCGCGAGTGCTTGCGAATGTTCACTCTGTTGAACAGGCCTCTGATCTCATAGTATTATAATTACTAGCTCAGAACTGTGCATCTAGCTCTCTGAAGGATGTAAAACATAACAGAGGGTTACAGATTCACCAAATGAAAGAAAAATTTGATCTAAGGCATTTTTTTTTCACATTTCCTCGTTTTATTTACTTGTATACCTTTCAACAGTAATGGTGGTTGCTAAGTATAAAGAGCATAATTAATGCTTCGTGGTAAGATTTATTCCCCTTTACTGTCAGACATTAGGATTGAAAACATGATATTCCAAGACCACAGTACAGGGCTGGCTGGACCAAAACTGTTGTCATGTAAATGTGTTTAAAGTAACTACCATCGAGGAAGATATTGCAATGAATATCACCTTTAAGTCTGAATGAAATTTTTTTTCTAAATCAAAGGTCTCTTTCTTCTGTTTGTCTGCCAGTGTATGTTCTATACATATTTGTCTTTGAGGGTATGTGTGTATTTGTGTGATATTACCAGAAGAACAATTTTCTATGGCTCTGCTTCAATATAGACATTGTACTGCAGCTGTAGGCAGTTCTCACTCTTATCAAAGCTGTACGAAGGAGTTTCATTTTTGTTTATTCTGCGTCATTCTGCAAAAGAAATAATTCACCAGATGAAAATTTATACAAAGAATCATATTTTTTTTAACTTCAAATACATGACATATCAAAAATACAATTATCTATGGAGTGAATACTCAAAGGGAAATAACTCCTCTGCGGGACATACATAGGGATCAGAACATTTTATTTTCATTTAACATATGTAATGGTTGAGGCCATGGACTTGAATAGCTCAGTTAGTACATGAAGTACACTTGACTAGTGATGCAAGGACTTCTGGTTTGATACCCAGTCCAGCCATGCATTTTCTCCTTTCCTTTCCTGTTACAGATTTGGTGCCATATGACCAACCCTGGACTTGCAGGTGAAAATCCTGCCAGGGGGCAATAAGAAAATTAAGGTTGTGTCTTATAGGGCTTAGACATTTTGTGGAAGAATGAATGTAAGGGTATGGGCTATGGAACAGCCAGGGTAGCTCTGGTTTGAGTACCTGAGTCAAAGTTAGTGATGCGAGGGTCCCAGGTTCAATTCCCAGTCCATCCATATCTTATTTTTATTGTATCCTTCCTCCCAAAATTTTCACCGCTATGAAATCTCACTAAAGAAAAATTGGAAGTTTTGTCTGAAATTTCTAAGTTGATAATAAAATTAAATAAAAAAAGAAAGATCATATCAAGCACATTCAGGATAACTTAATTTCTATCTCAGACACAGAGAAAATGGGAAAGATGAGACCATGCAGGATTAAAACAAGGACCACTCAAATACATTTAAGAACAACATATTAAATATAAGTCTTTTCAGGGACCCCTTATAATATCTAAAAAAAAAAACAACAACTTTTCGACAACATTTGATCCACTGACTTTATACTTCCCTGCCACAGCAGTTGAACCTTGAAGTACTTCTAATGTCCTTTTTTAAAAGTAAAATCTTTAGATGTCAGTTATTTTAGTTATTTCTGGAAAAACCAGTTAGACAGTACTATACAGGTACATTTACCAGTAAACATAAATCATTGGGTACTTTTGCACTATGGCCATTAAGTGATCATTCTCCCATCAAATGGACATAGTGTTTTCATATTGAAAGTACAAGTACCTACTAATTATTTGGTATTTGAATTTCAGTAATATACTTATGTTTTGTCTTTTGGTCGTCTAAGGATGACTGAGTGAGTGAGCGAGTCTTATGTTTGTACTTTTATAAATATAAAGTTATGATTATCCCTTAGAATATATTCTGATTGGCTCCCTTGCATGTCATATGCAGGGGAGACAATTTGTGATATCTTATTCATGTACAGGCGGCTCTTCAGATGTCAGGGAGACAATATTTGATATCTTATTCATGTACAGGGTGACAAATGTCTTGTTTTCCTTCAGATGTCAGGGAGACAATTTGTGATATCTCATTCATGTACAGGGTGACACATGTCTTGTTTCCCTTTAGATATCAGGGAGACAATCTGTGATATCTTATTAAAGTACAGGGTGACACATTTCTTGTTTCCCTTCAGATATCAGGGAGACAATTTATGATACCTCATTCATGTACAGGGTGGGAGCTGTGTTGCTTCGCAGATGACAATGAAATAGTGCAAGCAAGTGGACATGCAACAACTGTGTTGTCTCCCTTTAGATAAAAAAAATTAAATGTCAAAAGCTAGACTGTGCCCAATCAGTTAATACTGTAGAAGTACTTTTTTTTCCACGTGATACCATGCTATTAATTTTCGCTATGTACGTGGTCACACATTTTCTGACGAAATTTGTCCAAGCGTTCTTAATATAAATGTAAGGCAAATAATGATAGTCTACATGCAAATTAAACAGAAATTGTGATTCTGCAGAATTATGACCTCATGGAAAAAAATACATTTACAGTACTGTAATTAAATCAATAGTTGTCTATATATTGACATAAATTTGTAGTATAGAATCAGAGCAGTGGGTAACGTAGGAACAAAAGAGGTTTGTCTGATATGTATGCTCTATATATATACTGTAAACCAACTTTTATTCGTGAGCGAGAAATTTTCGCCAAGTTCGCGAGAGCCTCGTAATCGCGAATATTTCTCGCCGCGAACCGGTCCTTAAAATGTTTGTGTCTATTAACAACAGATCCAAAAAGGCTTGATCGCGAAAATTAATCGTCGCAAACTAGTTTATCCCTAGTAAATCGCGAAATAAAGTCGTCGCGAATAAAAGTTGGTTTACAATAATCTTATATTAAAGTGAGATTCTTAAGGCTATTAAAATATGTTATAGACTCTTTAGAGGGGAGACATCACAAATTATCAGGTCTGCATGAGTAAGTTTGTCACTCTTATTATGGATGCAGGTGTACTCAGCTGACAACCCTAACAAGAGGCCCATGGGCCACATCGCTCACCTGAGTAACTTGGGTGATGCAGTTCTTATCAGATTTCCCCTCTTGCTATACCTATCATGCCCCACTACCCCCTTCCCTTTCATGATTTTAACAATTTAATATCTACACTATCCCAGGATGCTTCCACAAAAGTTTCACCTTTCCTGGCCCAGAAGGTCTTGAGAAGGTTTTTAAAGATTTGTTCTATATATTTCTATGTGAAACTTGGATTTCTTATTGTGGCGCCGCCCTGCCCTCGGGGGTCATGATTTTAACAATTTAGAAATTTCACTACCCCAGAATGCTTCCACATAAGTTTCAGCTTTCCTGGCCCAGTGGTTCTTGAGAAGAAGATTTTTAAAGATTTGTTCTATATATTTCTATGTAAAACTTGGATTCCCTATTGTGGCCCGCCCTACCCCCGGGGGTCATGATTATAACAATTTAATATCTACACTACCCAAGGATGCTTCCATATGAGTTTCAGCTTTTGAGGGCCAGTGGTTCTTGAGAAGAAGATTTTTAAAGATTTGTTCTATATATTTCTATGTAAAACTTGGATTCCCTATTGTGGCCCCACCCTACCCCAGGGGGTCATGATTTTAACAATTTAATATCTACACTACCCAAGGATGCTTCCACATAAGTTTCAGCTTTCCTGGCCCAGTGGTTCTTGAGAAGAAGATTTTTAAAGATTTGTTCTATAAATTTCTATGTAAAACTTGGATTTCCTATTGTGGCCCCGCCCTGCCCCCGGGGGTCATGATTTTAACAATTTAATATCTACACTACCCCAGGATGCTTCCATATAAGTTTCAGCTTTCCTGGCCCAGTGGTTCTTGAGAAGAAGATTTTTAAAGATTTGTTCTATATATTTCTATGTAAAATTTGGATTCCCTATTGTGGCCCCGTCCAACCCCTGGGGGTCATGATTTTAACAATTTAATATCTACACTACCCAAGGATGCTTCCATATAAGTTTCAGCTTTCCTGGCCTAGTGGTTCTTGAGAAGAAGATTTTTAAAGATTTGTTCTATATATTTCTATGTAAAACTTGGATTCCCTATTGTGGCCCCACCCTTCCCCCGGGGGTCATGATTTTAACAATTTAATATCTACACTACCCCAGGATGCTTCTATATAAGTTTCAGCTTTTCTGGCCCATTGATTCTTGAGAAGAAGATTTTTTAGTGACACCACCCTATTTTTGTCTTTTCTTGATTATCTCCCCTTGTAAAGGGACTTGGCCCTTCATTTTAACAATTTAAACTCCCCTTCAACCAAGGATGCTTTGTACCAAGTTTGGTTAAAATTGGCCCATTGGTTCTTGAGAAGAAGTCGAAAATGTGAAAAGTTTACAGACGGACGGACGGTCAGACAGACAGACAGACAGCTAGACAGACAGATGGACGACGGACAAAATGTGATCAGAAAAGCTCACTTGAGCCTTCGGCTCAGGTGAGCTAAAAATACAGTATTTTGAGAAAAATTTTATTAATTTACTTGTGTTCACCCTTCTATTTTACAATGTACTATAGAAGGTAATATTAAATAGACTAGTCTGTTAGAATTGTGATGGTTTGGACTGATATACTGGCCTGGATAGCTCAGTAGGAAAAGTGCCTTGTAGCTAATGATAAAACACTACTTAATATAATGATAGAAATATCTTTAAGCGTTGCTTAATATCATAAAGTATTGCAAAAACTAGTTCACTTTCTCAACCGCATATTGATATAGTTCTTGCATTCAAGAAGCGATGGTTTAACATTTAGATGTTGAGATTGATTGTATATTGTGTAACGTCCCTCTCGAGAATCTTTCACTCATATGCAGATGCCATCACTTGTTGGTGGAGAGCTATAATTTTGTCCTATACTCGGCACTCAGTGCCATTGAGCAGGGAGGAATCTTTTTCATGCCAGCAGTGCACATACTGCCACACAGGACCTTGGTTTTATATGGTCTCATCTGAATGGACTGGTCTCCACGTCCAAAAGTAGGATTTGAACCTCCTTATTTCAGGACTCTGTATAGCAGGCGCTCTAAGCACTGTGCCATGCGGGCGACTTAGTGGTTGAGAAAGTCAACTATTTAATAAATTGCAAAAATTTTATAATTTGCACAATGTTGAAAAGCTTAATGGTATTTTTTTTCATTAAGAAGTGTTTCTTCATTAGCAGCTACTACAGTGCCATATCATGTTATCTCTTTTCCTGTTATTTTTACATATTGTCTATTGTTACTTAATTCCTACATTGTTTCAATCGTGTCACATATTTATCATTTTATTATCATGATTATGGCAATACTAATTTCTGTACTAATCATGCTAATAATGCCAAATTGATTTAATTAAGCAAACATTGATAGTTCTTAAATTTCAAACATGTAAAATCAACAATAGTTAGGTATTAAATTAAATTAAAGGCATTATGGATAAATGCCGTTTCTACTTTATCATTCCTATTGCCTTTTCTCTGGTGTTTTTCACCATATATGGTAGAAATTCAAGCAGAAAACACTTAGACAGTACATTATATAAAATGATTGCATAATATATGAATCCAAATGAGTCATCACATAAACTGAAGTACATATAATTATGTATATGTTTATATTAATATATATATATATATAATATACATGTATATATATTAGTAGATTTCAAATACATTCTCTTCCGAAAAATAAACATCAGCAACTCAAATATTACATAAAATTAAAAAAAATCATACTAAAAGACAGTATAGTACTACAGTAATTAAAAGTTGTTTTGCGCAAAAATGGATATTGCGAATTCATGGATATATCTAAGCAAAGTTTTCTGATCCCCAATTATAACTGATTTTAAGAATTTCTTATTTGGATATAATGAATAATAGATATAGCAAAGTAATTTCACAGGTCCAAGTTACTTCATTATTTTCTTTTGCAAATCTAGGGATTTCAATTTAACTTTCTATAGATTAACTTCAAACCCTTAACATTGGTGTGTCTTATACCTATATTTCCTTATTATTGTAATAATCTCATACTTGTCTGTTATGGGCTCTAAATTAGAAATAAAATGTTCTGTTCTGTTCTATACCAAGAACACCTCTATTAGAGTCCTCACTGAGAGTGCCTTAAAATT